TCGATACATTTAAATGATCTTCACGCAGATACACGGCACCGCAACGTAGTCACATTTTCCATCAGCTGACATTTATGATAGAACACCGTGGGTTTGATCGGCTTTCAGATTAAACTAAAGTGATCGAAAACATTTACACAAAATTTGAAAAAATGTAACGGCTTAAACAAGAAACCATCATCAAACATCCGCCTGCTCTCAGTTCACTCTGTCTTCATTTAAATCAAATAGTTCAGACATTTTAGTGCAATCAACTCAATATGGGGCTGGTGTATGGTTCGTAGATTGGGTTCAGTGAGTCATTGCTTTTTATAAACATATAAAGATTTCAGTAAATGATCATCATGCATTAAAACAAACATAAAGGTGCAATGGAATGAATAATGGCTTAAAATTAATTAGTTGTCTACAATACTGAGCTATGACCAAAATCTACAGATTATGTTACAAAAATGTCATGTGTCTTTAAAGACATCAGTTTGTGAAAAAAAAGTAAAAGTTATTTCAGACCACTGCAGTATCTCTGTTGAAACCTCTAGGGGGTCACGAATCCCCAATAGAAGACGTCTGTTCTAAATCAAATGATTGCAGCTCAAGAGGCAACACTGAGAATAATGACACAAAGGTCGGACAAATGGTCCAATTACACAAACATTATTTTAGTCTTAATGTGAGTCGGTGTGTCATGATGACGACTGTTTGGAGCCATGGATCGAGCTCAGGCTCTGTGAAGGTTTAGGGCTGCATTTGAGCCGGTGGTGTTTGTTACTGGTTGAAAAAAATGAATGTAAAGAAAGGGACAGAATATGGTCACCAATAAAAAACGAACAAATGAAGTTTGGATCAGAAATCTAGTGCAATTCTACTTTCAACTTTTGGTACATTTTTTAAAGGTAAAAATAGTTAAAAAAAAAAAAAAGCGTTGTCCTCCATCTTTAAATTGGTCAGTCTGTACTTAGTGGTTAAAGGATCGGGTTTGAAATCTGAGGAGCCACGGTTTGATCCCAGCCAGTAAAATGCAGCTCGTTGCTCACATTTTATAAATAGGTTAAAAAGCAAAGGTCATAATTTATTGTGTGTACATGAGTGTGTGCATGTGCACGACGACAAATGAAGTTCCTTCTTCTGTTTCCTCCGTCTGATTATTTGTTCTCGTTACTGCAGTTAAAACGTCACAGTTTGGTACAAAGTATTTTTCACTTGTTTTGACAAATATTTAGAATTGATAGTTGAATAATGACCTCCAGAAAACAGAACCAACGACGACGTCCAACTCCCTCCCTAGACTTCTCTCTGTCCTTTTCTGACACTGAAGGAGAGCAGATGTTCTCTGCAGATTCGTAAAGTCTGACTAAGAACGAGAACGCACCCGTGTCTGTTCGACAAACATTTAGACAGATCAAAACCTGCAGCACAGGCCGAACCGGCTGGATTTACATGTACATCGCCGCTCCGGTCCTGCTGCATCCGGTGTTGGAACTTCCAACAGGTTCTTTTAAAATGTTTGTTCAAACTTTACTGGTCTCATGTTCCCAACCTTGATCCTGGATATAAAAACAACTCAGCCGTTACTGATGTTAATGATGGATTTTTCCGGCCCATGAAGCTCCTCTCTGAGCAGGAATATTTGACCTGAAGGTCACTGTAATACAATTACTAATACATGTACTGAAACACTCTCATTATCCTGCTGCTTTAGGAGTCTTTAAAAAGATCTTTTAAATATTTATAACAGAAAAAGGCTGCACTTCTGGTCCTCGGCTACTGTTGTTTCGCCTGTGATGCTGCTCTGAACGTTGTAGAGTTCAGTAAAGTTCATAAAAACATAAATATATATATATATACCTATATATATATGTATATATATATACTGTACAATTTTATATTCCTAGATCCCAATGGTTCCCAAAGTGAGGGTCGGGCCTCTTAGCGGCCACAACGCGAAAATTGTTTTGTAGGAATTATGAAACAACAGCTGTGAATAAAAAAAAGTTTGTGAATCGCTGCTTGAGCCAATCTGAGCTTTAACATTTTTTTTTTTACCTTTTGAGATAAAAAGCCAATTGTGGTTGAAATATAAACTGAAGAAAATTCTCTTTGAGGTCACGTGGCTGTAGACGTCGAGACAGATCGTTGCAGGACATCTTCTGGTAAATGTTTGATTTTTATCCAGTACTTAACCTTTATTATGAAGTGAAATACGAGGCACTAGCTGGGAATCCAATCTGATCGGCTGCATGTATAAATAACTGCAGCGAGGCTTTAACATAGGAGCAATAATGCCCGCTCTGCATTGTTTCAGGTTGCAGCGAGGACAAACAGAGAGCTCAAATTGTGGCGAAACACCCCACCGCCGCGACATGGCCGCTTGTCATAAGGGGAGCCAACAGTTAGCCAAGTTGGCTCGGTGCTCAGTAGCAGCTCCTGCCAAAAAGACACCTCCTTGTCACATTATTTGTCAAATCACCTCCCCGTTCTGCGAGCAGCGCAGGTCACTTGCGTGCTTCTACAGCCACACCAGCCATAAAGCTGCTTTAATTGGAGAAATGAAGTGATGTTTTTTAAAATAGATGAAGTGACTAAGGGGGGAAATGAGGCAACAGACGTCCAGAGTCTGTCATACGTGTGTGACTCAGGGCCAAATGTCACAGCCAGAAACAGCTGCTTCAGATGTTTCATTTCATTTCAGCGTAACCGCGAGTAACACCGGGCCTCACCTCCGCCTGATGAAGTGCTTTAAATAGAAACAGTAACAAAGGGCCGTCAGCGTCAGGTGTGGTTAATAACTGTGTAAGACAAGACCGGTTAATACTGAAGTTACTGTGAGTCAGATTCACTATAAAACACATATACTGCCACAAAGAGTGGAGTCTGAGGACAGTGATTCACTATAAAACACATATACTGCCACGAAGAGTGGAGTCTGAGGACGGTGTATTTGTATTTGAGTAAAGGACGGTTGAATTGACAGATGAAGGTCAGCAGGTTTGAATTAGTTTGGACCAAAATGATATGGGAAATTACAGGAAATGGCAAAAATTAAAAAACTAAATAAATGAATGAAAAACTCTATAATCAATAATTAATCTATAAACTATAATTATGTTTATGCACTTCATCAAGATGAGGGAATTCTGGGATAAAAAAATGGAAATCCTTCCAAACATGACATGGTCTCAAAGACAGCTGTTCTACTGGTACGTATGTTTCTACTGACAAACTCGGTCATTGTCATACACTGAGTCCAAACGCTGTTTAAACGTCCTCTGGATCTTAAACAAAATCACATTTAGTCTTTACATCTTAGCTAAAACGACTAAAACAGTTAGGAAGAGAATCATTCTATGTTATCACCCACCCACCCAAATGATTTGGAGTAGAAGTCTGACAATGTAGTAAATCCTGGGTTAACATTTTCAACTACTGTACGCAGCTGTACGCTAAAATAGTTACTTTTCTTGTATACTTCTTGCGACGTTAGCCCTAAAGCTCTCATGCTGCCACAGAAGACATCGTGTTCTTTGAGCCATGTATTGAAGACTGTTGTTACTCATCTAAAAAAAAAAGATCTCCATAACAATCAGTCGAAATGATGTCACGTCTCCATGACGTTAGACTGTATTTTCTAATGCCTTGGAATTTACTTTACCATATTCCCATGAGTTTAGAAGCAGTATTTATGGGGGGGGATTTCAACTTCCACATTGTAACCTTGGACTGTAAAGTATGTAAAGTACCTGGAACTGTACAGTACTCAGAGCTGCGACTGAGAGGAGTTTTCTCAGTGCCTGGGTTATGGATGTCTCCGGTACTGCCGTCTGCCCAGGGTTATAATTTACAGTTACAGCGGAGTGTTTGAACGTTACACAGTCAGTCGTGTTCTACAACCATACTTCTACATGTGATTGATTCCAGTGTTTCTCAGTGAATAGAGCTGTTCATCTCATCTAGTTAGCATAAAATATTCAGGCCCGATGCCTCCGCTCCTCTACATACTTCATGTGCTACCACCAGGGACCGCTCCTTAAATTATTCTCCAACATCTGACAACATCCACAAATATATCGCGGGAGACATGGAAATATCTTAGGACAGGAGATGAGGGATCCTGGAGCAGATGGTTTGTAACTCCCTATGGATCCATGGAGAGACTCCATCATGGAGTCGTCCTGGGATTCCACCAGAAGACACTAACAAGACCCATAACTCTGGAGATGTTGTGGAACAACTCCCCTGCCTGGAATATATGTATGTGACAGGAGACGATGCCATTTCATAAATTCAAAAATGTATGTTTTTGAATTTATATCTAATTCCAAAACTGTACACCAGTGTTTCCAAAATATTTTGGTGGAGACATGGCGGGGATTTTGCTTTATCACGTGACATCATCAAAATGTCACAAATCACTATTAATAATTTAAAGAAATTCGTTATAAGTTTTTCCTCCGAAAATAAAAACCCGAGAACGCAATGTCACCAAACGATGTGTGCCCTAAAAGTAGTTTTTGGGGCTAAACTGCTATATATTAAAGTGAAAGTCACTAGATGGCAGCATTGCAGCTCATTTAATTAATCTCGTACCTATACAGGGGTTTGTACAGATCAATAGATCAACATTACCCCGGCCTATAATCGGTATCGCTTGATATCGGAATTGGAAATTAAGTGTTTGGACAATATCGCACATTGGATGTCGGTTATTATGAGACATCTCTACTTATTAATAAACGAGATTAGTCCAGTAACAAGTGGCGCACTTTTGTTGTTATTCCATGGTTTCTTTCTTGCAGTGGCACATCATATGGTCTGGTTATATAAACAGTCTATGATAGGCACATAAACAAGACCCCGTGACCAAAACCCCTGCATGTGGAGTTTCTTCTTTAAGGCTTTAAACACGCAGTCAAACACACTCAGGTGGAGGTTTATCCTTTCTCTGCCAATGTGACACACTGGACCTTTAACTCTGCTACAACAACTCCGTTATAGTGTTATTTAACGAGCAACACGTGAAGGCACCGTGTCTTCTTCCTGGAGTCTCTCGCAGGGAGGCTTGTGATTGGCTGACAGTGACATCATCGTCCCTGCTCTGCGTACGTGGGCCGTTGTAGCGTCAGAGCTCCTCCTCCTCCTCCTCTTCCTCCTCCTCCTCGGTCCCCTCGTCTTTCCTCCTCCTACATCCACAGAGGAGGGAGGCAGGGACTGCTCCTCCCCCAGCTCCTCCCACCCCGGGGCCGGACCTCCAGTGTACGAACCGGATCAGTGTTAATATTGATGAAGCCGCGCATTGGCTCCAGGTGGCGTCAATCCTGGGCTGCTCTCTTGGTACACACACACACACACACATATATATATATACACACAAGCGCGCACACACACACGTACACACACTCGCTTCAATGTTATTTCTAAAGGGGAGAGCAGGGGTAAAAGTAGTTAAAAAAATGCTGCCGATCCTCAACACTGGGATGGACTGAATGGAGGCAGCGGCAACAGCGAGCGGAGACGTCAAATCCACCTGCAGTCAGGCGCCACACTCCCCGGTAAGAACCGAGCCTAAAGGCAAGTTATCTGGTTTAACAGACGGCGGATCTGAGGCTGGTTTGCGATTTATATTATTTTTTGTAAGTTACCGCTTAAATGCACAGTCATTTCAGGCGTCTGTATAATTCATAATTCATCATTTTTCACTGCTGCAACCACTGTTTCTGCATATTAACGTGTCATTGCATTGATGATTTGAAACATGTGAGAGTTTTTATCATTATTATTGACATCGCGCAATTTTCCCTTCATTTCTAACCAATCGTGAGGGGGAAAAAAAAGTTCTAATCTAACCCTATAATAATGCGGCATGTTTTCTTAATCTTCTCCCCCTTTGACATTCTTCTATTCTCAGAATGATTATTTTTAATTTCTGCTGGTGTGAAGTTATTAATTTTTCTCCAGTGTCAGAGCCTCATCTGCTCTGTGCCAGTGCCGAGCGCCATATCACACATTCTCAGCACGTTCTCATGCCGGTTTCTTCAATGAAAATTTGGCCATGAATGATTTCTGCTGAGGCTCAACCTGCAGCCATGGCCCGGACAGACACAGTCTGAGGCACCGAGCCACAACCGTGAGCTTTAAAAAAGGATGAAACTGGGGATCAAACGGCAAACCAGCTTTTATTTTTGCTCTCTTTTCTTGTACCCCGACTTTCCATCTGGGGAGAGACCAAACTGCGGCGTAGTGTTGATGCAGTATTTTATCTTCTCTCTCCCCAGCACACACACACACACACAAATACACACAGACTCTCTCTCTCTCTCTCTCTCTCTCTCCTCCCTCTGCAAGCTTTGGATCACGGAGTCCAGGCTTGGGGTGAAAAATCCAATATCCACACACATGCAGCGAGACGCTGGAGTAGGATTCGCATAGAAAACTTAAAAGAGATCCAGTTACACAGAGCTCTGAGATGAGATGATTCCAGGGTTTATTATTAGTTTGTCACATGTCAATCTTCTCACCAACTTGGGTGTTGCCCTGCAGGTGTTGACACTACTAACAGTCAGTTTAGGCGCTTGATTTCTAACTTGTTGTTGATCAAACAGACGGTGAGCGTTGACTGATCTGGTTTTTGTCCGCTCTTTTCTTGCATGTCTTCGCAGCAGAGCAGCTTGTTGAGTTCTCCGTAGACGTCCAGCCCTCGGCCTCCCCATGCCTCCCGCTCCTCTCGACGACAGAATTGTGGTGGCGCTGCCAAGGCCGATCCGACCTCAGGAACTTCATCTGCGCCTGGACACCAGCTACCTGGACTCCTTCTCCAGCAGCAGCAGCAGCAGGAGCAGCAGCAGCAGCAGCAG